CAGATCGAAGGCTTTTTTGAAGTCAAGATATATGACATCAATCTCTTCCCCCATGTCCAGGTGATAGGTCACCTGGTTGTAAAAGGAAATGAGATTGGTCAAGCAAGAGCTACCCACAACAAACCCATGCTGGGTATCCCTCAGGATATTGCCGTCAGCTAGCCGGATTTGTGGCTACAAGAAACAGACTGAGACCCTCTTCATTTTAGACCTGAGGAACATGTCAGCAGCAGTTCCTACAGCCTGGTGTGGTGGTTATTTGGAGCTCAAAAACAACCTGGAAGGAAAGGTGGGGTGAACTGCATCATTGCTTCCTGCTTGAGATTGTTTGAGAATCAACGCTGAGATCTGCATTCAAATCTTCCCACAGTTTGTGCCTGTTTGGATTTGGGGGGTTTAATTGGGATCATTTCTACATCTAACCAGAAGGGACTCCAGGAAGATAGGCCTGGCATGATACTTAGTTGAAAACCATGTTGAAAAGACATGCTAAACTTCCTTAGAGACTCTCTGGGTAGGAATAATTTCCATTGTTCTTGTTTGGAGAGTAGAGTAGCTGTTGGTAGATTTGTAAGTGCTCCTATTCTTCAGCCAAATGTGGTGTTTTTAAGAACAGCTGTATAAAATCGCAGCTACAAATAATAGCTTTTGCTAGAGACTGATAGGAGATTGTGATTATCTGGTGCATCGTGCAGATAACTGTAAACTGCATGCTACACTGTGCTTCATGCATTGCCAGTACTCATCTGCTATGATTTGTTTTGAGCTTGCAGCCAACCTGGCTAATAGCAAACTGTCTTTGAAACCTAGGCAGTTTACTGCCAAAAGCAGATTTTAATTAAACGCTACCCATTGTATTTCTATAGCATTCTTTGTGTCTGGAAGTTGTGTTTTTCATTAGTAGGAGAGTTTTGACTTTAAACTCAGTTGATCAGTTCTGTGCAGTTTGCCAAGGGGTGGGAGGGCAAGCTGTACTTTGGGAAAGAGCAGAAGATACTTTACTTTTAAGATGAATACTTTCCATCATCAGAGGTGGAGTGGAAAAATGTAATGAGAAAGTAATTACTGGGAACATTGTTTTCAGACAATGGACTGAAATGTGGAAAACCTCACTGTTTTCCCAATTACTGTTCCCCGTTGCACTAATATCTACCTTGTTGCAGTAATTAACCTACAGCATCGCACTGTAACGATGGAATCATCCACTACAAAATGTGCTGCTTTCAAGTTCTTTTAGCAATATGAGTATGGAATTTGCCGAGTGACTTTAAGGCAGCCCAGTCAGATTTTAAATATATTCCAGAACCCTGCCAGCTTACTGCTATAGCGTCAAAATCTTAGAGCAGGGGCGCTCAACCCCCAGCCTGCAACCCAGATCCAGCCCCAGCACCATGTCATGAGAAAGGTCATGCCAACACAATCAAGTGTGATGAAGACAGTAGTATCTTCTGTACAGAATAATGTCCCTTGTAGGTGCTGACCCGCTGTAACCTTTGAATACAAGTCACGCAGTTTGACCCAGGCAAGTTTGAGTTTGAGCACCTATCACAAGATGCACCAAAAATTTCCACCATGAGATAAGGACTTCCTGGTCATTTATCATGCATTTTACTCATTTGAGCTGAATGAACTGTATCAATGAACAAATCATTAAATAAATAAATAAATAAAGTTGGATATCCAGATTGTAGCCATATTGGTCTAGAGGCAAAAGGAATCAAACCTTGTGGAAGAGATGATATCTTTTATTAAACCAAGCAGATATTTGCAAACAAATTATTTTATTGATTTGCAAGCTTTCAGGCACATTCACCCTTCATCAGGCATAGGAGAGAGCTGAGATTGTAAAAGTTCTCCTAAGTAGAAATGAAAACACATATATCTTTTATTTCTTTTATTTATGTTTTAAACAAGTTGGAAGCTGCCAGAAGGATTTAAATAGGCGTGAACCTGCATCCAAACAAAATCACTGGCAGCAGGATGTGATGGCACATATTTGACCCAACTCTAATGTACTTAGACCATTATAACGTGTAGTTGAGATATATTACTCCAAAAAGAATTCAGCTTTTTTTCTGATTGACTCTAGTCCTAAGAGTTTACTTCTCTGTTAATACTACAGCGTGCTCATTTAAAGTTAATTGAATTTCATGCATATATTGTAGCAGATTAAAGTGAAAACTTGTCACCTCAGTTAACCAAAAGCATTTCAATGGAACAAAAAAAAAGTATAAATGTTTGAATGATACTGCTCGCAAAATATATTCATTGCATAATTCTGTTCGTCTCTATAGAAAGGCTTTGAAGTTTGCTATTGAATACATTTTCTGCAACACTGGCTAGGTCCACTCTTCTGCAAACCTAATTAAACCAACAGTACAGCAGTTCTGGAATCACAGCATTGTTGGGAAGGGAACAAACATAGCTTTGTTTCCACAGTAGAATAGTAATCTATCACTAATAACAGGCATTATGGCAAATAATATTGTTGACCTTTCTCCAGGCCAGACATCCCCAAACAGGGATAATTTTCTACTCCAGCTGAAGCAATAGGTTTTTTAGTCTCTACAAACCACACAAAGCCGCTCTCTTCTTTCCTGTCCCATCACCTTCCTGGTATACAGACATAGAATCCAAGAGGGCCAGGGCATGAAACTCTTGCACTGCTCCACAGCTGGTGAGGAGGCATCCTAGCATCCCTTTTGACCACAGTTGCCAGAGGCCTGCAAGGAGACCTGAGTGGAAACTGCAGTGCCTTTTGCACGTGTGAATCTTAGACTTCTGGTTGTGTGTCCTGTGACATTGCAGGAGGAATGGGCAATTTTACATCCACTGTACACTCAAGTGAAGCAGAGAAGGTATGCCTGTCATCTCTCAGCCTTTGATCAAGCCATGTAGAGAGTCCTCATCTCCCTGGCCATGCTTTAAACCCTCTTACATACCATAGCTAGCTGCCATGCTCCAGCATGGCAGCTCAAGGCACAATGACTCCGGTACTGGAAAATTACTTCTTCAAGATGTCTCCTGTGAGTCTGAGAGCAACGTGCTTGAGGAGGAAGGAATAAGAGACCATGCAGAAGATCACCTTCTCTCTGCAGTGTCCCGATCTCCCACTCCTAGGCCTAGGAGACAAGCAGCAACTGGTGGGAGCAGATATTCCTGACAACCTGGGACGACCACCAGCAGCAATGAGTAGGGCAACCTTACTTGAGATCTACATCATCCAGGCCCCATCACTCCAGGGCTCAACCAACAACATGAGAGTAGTAATTGCCATTTGGAACCTGGAAATCCCCAATAGTCTTTGGCCTGTGGCCAGCTGTTTCAGTGCAAGAGAGTCCACAGATGGATTGACCATCCGGAAAGGGTTTCAACATGGCCCCTCCACCTCTCCAAATCCCAGTGGGCCATTTCCAGTCTTGTCCATATGGACTTTACAGCCTGCACTGGAGCCATCAGAGAGATGCACATTTCCATCCTATGCTCAATAGTGGCTCTTCTTAAAAGCGCCATGTCTTGAAGTACATAAGCTTCAAGGGCTGCTTCTCCAGAGATGCAGGGCATCCCATACCACTGGGGACAGATCACACGCATGTCTTCTAGGGGGTCAGGCAAAGTCTAGGGTCTTCAGGAACTCCAGAGTGCTGCCCTTACTGACACAGGGAGCCTATGGCTTTACCACCTTTTGCACATGTGATGCCTATCCATCCAGTTCTTCTTTCAGCTCTGTTCTCCCTGCCCTCCTAGCTATTTTGCTGAGTTGATTAGAGTTTATGATAACAAACATATTTAGACCCTTTTCTTCATTAGGATAAGGTGAGTTACCTCAAGACTCCCTACTGAGGGTACGTTTATGTTTAACCTTGTCGTATAGCCAATTCAATCTTTCCTTCCATCACGGCATGCTCATTCTCCAGCATGCCCTTGCTATGTGGAGCCAGACTACAGTAAACAGCCTATTTCTACAGTACCTGTCATATAGGCCCACAGGGCCTTTGTACAAAGTCAACATGATATAATTGCAGGTGTCACCAGGTGCTGCTGGCAACATAGATTTCCAATTTTTTTTTTTAAGCATGCAGGAAAATGTCTGATGTACTGTGGTACTTTTAGCTTTGTTATGCAAGACTCATTTTAGGAGGAGCTGTGCCAAAAGCAGGAGAATTTGTCTTTCATGGTCTCTAATTGGTGTCAGTTCTTTGGTTGTAGAGTTACTCCTTGGGAACCAGTCATTGGCATGAGGCTGGAACTCATGAAAGAAGAAAATGGACTGTATTTGTTTGACCACCTCTGTTTCAGGATTTATATAGCTGTGTGAATAAAACAAAGCAGTTACCACATACCCTCTTTATTAATTTGTTCTTCATAACCAGAAAGCCAGCCTGAAGGTGCTAGGCATTTGCTGTCTGGCAGAGCAAAATACCATATTTTTACACTACTACCAAGTCATCAGGCTGGAAATGAATGTCCACACCCTGGTTCATTCCCTTGGCACGGGAAGAATTCCTGTCCCACCCAAGGCTAAGGATAGAAATTACATATAAGCTGGTATAAGTGATCGGAAACTAGTTCCAGTCTGTAACACAACAGGAGTTCAGTGCACACAAACCACTTTCAAAATGGCTGAAACCAGTTTAAGATAAATCTGGATGGATGTAGTATCAGACTAAACTGATTTAGGTTAAATCGGTTTATTGCACTTCTGTCCCAGTTCCAATACACAGCTAGAGACATTTGGAAAGTGGTCTGAAGAGGGAAGTAATTAGAACCTCAATGCTACAAACCAGCAGCTTTGTTGCCTCAGTTGCTTGTACATCTCCTGCGTCCAGTTGAAATGTGAGACCACCTCAAGTACATTGTAAGCATTTGGATATGCAGTGGTACGTCTCTGCCTCAGAGCAGATGTATGCATGTTAGCATAGGCACATGGACACAGGAAATGTTTCAGTTGTCATGAATTTCCTACTTTGTGAAATCTATTTTCTTTGGATTTTTTGCAGGTCATTTTTGAAGGAATCCGAGGTCCTGGCATAGAAGGCGACATTGCTATTGACGACGTATCAATTGTGGAAGGAGAGTGTATGAAAACATACCAGCCGCCCATCAGTAAGTGGGTCCTCCATTAGTGCAAAGAGCTGTCGTGCATGCTCACATTGCTCCCTAGGACTGTAAACCCGAGCCATGTTATAATCCAGACCTGGAGGTGCAGAGACCAGAGCAAAATGACCTGCTGGCTGGGGGGTGGGAGCCTTAAAGATTGCATTGGGGCCCACCTTTTGAGCTAAACTGTGTCTATCTAGATATGTAAATGAAGAAAGCTTTCCAACAATAGAGCAGAAGAGAAAGGAAACCAAGTGCAAGACAGACAGGAAAGGAGCAGGGAACTACACTTAGAGGTAGAGGTATGGAAAGTAGACCTATCCACATGTCCACTGTCCAAGGACCAGGTTCTGATGGGCTTGTTCCAGAATGGCTGTAGACACACAGGACTTGTACCATGGGAAGTTTTAGGGATTTGTATGCTATTGGAATACCAGCTGCATTTTGAAGGCCTCTCTCCCACAGAGTAGCCCTTGGGTGGTAACCTCTCTGAAATCCCTGGACCTTCTCAGATTAACATGGCTACCCAATACATCCCTGGAATTTGCCATGGTATAAGTTACAACCGTACTGAAATAAACCCATCAGAACATGGCCCTCAGACAGCAGACACACGGGACTTTATTTTGAACATTTAAAAAGTTGATTAAGACGGAGATCCATTCACTGCACACAAATAGACATTTAAAGCATAATAGGGGTCTCAGCCCTCAGGAGTTAGGAAATGGCTGTAGCAAGGTGCCCAGCGAAACTTTGATTTCCTCCATTGTGCATATGCATTTTGATGCTTCTCCAATTACGTGATTACACATGATTTTTTTCCATAGGTCTCTGCCTCCTTCGGTGCATAAGGCAGGATCCTTGTTCCCTTATTTATCACCAATAATAAGCGTTAAGAGAGAGGTGGTCCTCGCCCCTACCTTGGGCAACTTCAAGAGGAGGTTGGACGATCACCTGTCTGGGGTCTTGTGAACCCAGCGTTCATTCCTGCCTGTGGCAGGGGGTCAGGCTAGGTGATCTGTTCAGGTCCCTCCTGACCCTAGCTACTATGAAACTATGATCCTTATTGTATAGAGAGAGGAATTATATTGCTTTTCTTCCAGCTTCTCTTTTTCCACGCAAGATCTTTCTCTCTCTGTGACGTCGATGCACCAAGTCAAGTCATCCGCAGCTCATTAAACGGCTGTTGATTATCTTATTGGGACACTTGCTAATTCTGCTCTTTTCCCCCTTTTGTAGATTCCCGATCAGGTGCTTTTGGGACGTTAGCACATATATGGCTTTTCCCAGTTCTCCTCCTCCTGTCTGTCTTAAGTCATCAGAGGTGACCTTATTCTGGCAGAGGCTACAAAAGATTCACCAGGCACTGGCATGAAGAAAGAGTCTTTGTAAAATGGACATTTAAAAACAAACTACCAAAGATTCCTCCACTGACTGACTCAAACGTTTAAAAAAAAAAATAAAAGTTTAAAAAAAAAAATAAAAAGCACTGGGGATAAAAGGCATCCTGGGAGCATAACTCGCTACGAACCACGCGTGAAAAAAAAAGTGATCTGGCCTGAGTAAAGAGGAGAGCTGCAGGTGCTTTTGTGGTCAGTAAGAATACAGCATCATCTGGTTGAACTCTGAAAAAAGAGCTATAGAAATCCTTGTCAAAGCACAAAGTCATGGCTGGTTTTGTTTCAAATGAATAGTTTGCTTGTTACCATGGAAACCTAATGGCCTGCCAAAAAAAAAACAAAAAGAGAGAGAAATAGAGAGAGAGAAAGAGAGAAACACCTTACTGTAAACAGGGTACGTGAAGAGCTGGCGTATATTTTCCCTTCAAGAAGGTTTTTAGTATAGAGTTCAATAAACGTAGGCCCTTTCGCCTTTGGCTGTCACCTCCCCTAGAGAATAACCCTAAATCAAAGCTGTTTAAGATGTTTATGTTTCATTTTCTCATGGCTATGCTAGATAACTGTATGCCGTCTCCTTTTGCATGCATTACTAGCCAGGATGTGCCACCTGGGCTTACATATTACACAGGCTTATCGGAGTTTGCTTGCGGCCACTTGACCACCCCCCCTCCCTCCCCCCCAACTAAGTCATCTGTTCTAATGAAGTGAAGAAACCAAACCACCATCTTTTATAAATTGCCATGGAAACCAAGTGCCTTCAATGAAACAAGCCTGATTATAAAACAAAATAACGCTAATAATTTCAACACAGAAGCTTGCACTGCTAAAATGTGGTTTGTCCAAACTATTTTCTAAAACAAACTACCGAGCCTAAGAGTGCAAGCTGCAGGCAAGAAAGCAAAGCCGCTTCTGGAGAAGGATGGACCTCGGTTGCTGCGTAAGCCCTTTTGGATGAGATGTTTGTTGTTTAACCTTCCAGACAGCCATGGCCTTTCAGCTTATTATCCATTAGAAAATAGCTTCTATTGGTCCAGAGAATGGGAGCAACACTTTCCCCCGCCCCCCAGGTTATCAAGTGGGTCAACCAGAGCAAAAGGTTGTTCAGATATACTTAGCGCAGAAGGTGGTAAAACACAAAAGTGATTTTCTTCGTCTAACCTCCATTTGAAATGAAATTGGCCCTAGCTTTAGAGAGAAGAGAAGGTGTGTGTGTGTGACTACAGTGCATATATATATAAAAAAAAAAATCAAAAAGAAGAAAACAAAACCAACAAAAAAAAAACAAAAACCACTCTACAGCAAAAGAGGGCCGGCAAAATCTGGCTTTATTCCAAACACCAAGGGTACAATGCCTCTGCCCTTTAGTCAGACTCTTTGCAGATTGTGAAATATTATTTTATTATTTTAGCAAAATTAAAAAAAAAAAAAGAAAACACTTTTACAAAAAAATAAAACCTGTAAAAATGATTTTGAGCTACCTGAGTACATGCCATACCTTTAACCAGCCAGTTTTCCAATGCATTGTAAATTTCCCTTACACACTTGGTTATGAAAATTTGAAAACCTTTTTCCTTAAATTATGTCAGCTTTTAACTTCATTTAAAAAGAAAAAAAGAAAGACTTTTGTCTAAAGAAGAGTATTATTATTATTATTATAATTATTATTATATGTTCTTTCAACACCCTAGGATTAAAAACTGATATGCAAGTAATTGGGATATAAATATTAAAAAAAAAAAGTATAACATTTGCAAATATTAATATAAAAAGCACAACAAGATGCAGTAAAACGATTACAAGGCTTGATTTTTTTTATTCTGTAGAAAAATGTTTGTGCAAATTCAGTACTTCAACTGAAGAGATAATTTTACAGCTATGTTCAATAAAGCCTCTTTCCAGGTAAGGTATGCTAAGTAGTATGCGTGTTTGTTGAGCCATGTGCACTTACTCACCAGAAGAGCGTGACCGAGATGTTTGCTTGCTCTCTGATAAACTGGCGTTGTCTGGAGACATAATGCTTCATACTCCTGACATTCAGGGGCAGGAATTTGCAAAGGACATTGTCAAATATCTAGTTCATAGGTGATTTCACTTGTTTGTAATACCCTGATAATACCTAGGATTGCGTCGCAGTGAGAGAGTCCACGTGGAAGACAAGCGGAAGTGCTGAGTGTGGATTGACTGTAGGGTTTGGAAGCTGATATGCTTTTAAATAAAAGACATTTCACTCTAACAAGCATCAGATTTTAATTAAAATTCGGGAGAGCAGGATCAGGCGCAATAAGAACTTGATCCAAACTTGCACTCTTATTTTTTGAGGTTCAGAGTATCTCATAATTCGAAGAATAAAAAATGTTCATATGTGCGTTCCCTTTCTGGTTTGATCAGGATGCCATGGGATTGCTATGTGCTTTGCAAGGCTGTTTCTGCTGGTATTTTGGGTATATCTATGAAGGGGCCTGCCTTGCGAGACTTTTAACTTAACTTGAACTTTATTTCCAGACTAAATAGGTAATGGCATATAACTTTCCCCCCGTTGCTAATGTGTACGGACTGTGTAACATGCTATTGGGAAAGCAGCGTGATTCCACTTGGTCATTTGCTCCTTTGAGCAACCGCTTCAATGATGCCATCGTCGGAGATCCCCACAGGTCTGGGAAGAGC